GACAGAAATGATAGTAGCTGGAAGAAGTGACTAGCTATAGCGGCATTTCTGCGATCCGTGAAATAGTGAATGCGCTTCTGTCCATTCCAATAACCTTTCTAGAAAAGCTCAGTTCGTGTATATAGCAGTACAATAAACGGTGACCATTTATCTCAACAAGCACCCCATTCACTTCCCGAAACTGCCAAAGTAGATTTATAGTTTAAGTGACTCAGCCCTAACGTTCAGTCAAAACGCGTCGTGGATTGAATATCATCATATGCGAATGTGAAATACATGAAATTATCAGGAAAATAAAGAACAAAACGAACTTGTTCAAGGTGAGAGTCGTGTTGGCCAAAGTCCGGTTGTTTACGACTCAGTACTTCACTCATAGAATTCAGCGAGCGGTCTTTTTCCAAAATCTGAAAGTCGCTGAAGAAATGATGACACGTTTGTAGTATGGGGCACTTAGTGCACGATCGTGCCGCAACTTTTCAAATGATTGCTACCACAAGCGTACAACGCAGTTCGGCAACGGAGAAAGGGGGTGGGGCATTCTGCACTTTGCTACTTCTCATTTACTTTTCAAGCCATCAAATGGAGAACTGTGCAATTTTGTAAGCCACGAAACAGTACCAACAGAAGTACCAACCAAAGCTTGAGAAACCACTTGTCAACCCTTAAAACGAGTACCTGTCAACTCTGGTAAAGCGATGAATACCATTCAAATACAATTTGCCATGGTGATTCGACAAGCTTGTCTCAGTTTACAACAGTTCACATGTTCCACCAGAGTGAGATTTGTAAACCGAATCTAGCAAGACAGCAAAAATAGAAAAGCCCCCCTCCTCCCCCACGTCGCCAAACTGCGCCAGCGTATACTTCTTGGAGCACAAGATGCCACTTTAGAAAAACCCTCCAAACGCTCACAGTCATAGGAAGGTCAAAGTAGCTTCCGGTTCAAATGAAAGAAGTGATTTAAATGGAGGCGCCGTGTAAGTACCACACAGGTTACATGTAGATACAAACCTGCTGTTTGAGCTGAAGATTGGCTTCTGCTGCAAGCTGTAATTGCACTTGTAAAACATTTGTTTGAGCGATCATCTCATCCACGCAGGACTGCCGTAACTGCAAGCGGAAATAAATGGCTATGTGACTATGATAGCTCAAAAGAAAGGAAGCCAGCAGCAATTCAGTAGACAAAATTCAACTGAATAAAATAACTCTAGTTCGAAAGTGGTCAGCAAAGGAGACCAGCAGAATACGTGCGAAATTGGTACCGTAACTTCCTTCTCCAAATCATCTGTTTGCTGCCTGAGTTTTTCACATTCCTCCGTTTTCTCTGCATTCGCCGCCAAAGCCTCTCGTAGTTGAGCAGTAAGAGCCGAAACCTGTTTTAATTGCACATAATTTGAGCTCGCCTTGGAGAAGAATCCATGAAGGTGAACATGAATTAATGACAAAGAAATTACGTACCTCGTCCACAGAATCTTGGGCAGGTGGATTCTGTGGTTGCTGATTACTATCAGCCTTTTCCTGAAGAGCTTTCAGAGATGTTTGCAACTCTTCTCTATGCTCTTCCAAAAGCCTAAAACGATCGGTTGAACGTAAAATAAATTTACTCACAATCAGAAACTTACGTAATCTTCTCTTCCAGAAGCTTTGTTTTCTTTTGGTCCGTCTCCTCCTGTTTTTTCATCTGAGCATTGACCTCAGCTAATAACCTTGACTCTTCAGAAAGCAACCTGAGATGATAGTCAATATCACTATATGTAAACCCAAAGTTTTTTGTTGTATGCTTGTATGACCGCTCAGATAGTAAAATTTCATGACTAATCGCTTTAGGAAACGGGTCAAGTTTGCCATGGATGGGGCATAGGTCAAAATGCAGAGGGCACACGTAAACTAAGCTAGGCTCCACACACAATGGGCGGGGCGTGCACTGAAGTGGGAGGACTCAACGAGACAATGCTTCTTGAGGCGCCTAAAGAGAAGTCAAAAAGCAGCGGAATGAAATAATTTAGAGACCCCCGCGGGAGGAGGTAGGCATCCATTGGGTAGAGCTCGCCCCGAAAATTCGGTAATTGCTTCCGAAACCGGAAAAGGGGAGGATGATCTTTAAAACAAATATAATTAATCAGAGTGATAGCTGATAGCTTTTCATCTAAAAAACACATACAAACCTGTTTCGCTCCTGTAGCATAGTGACCTCTTCGCGCAGCTCACGGTGCAAATTGTCGACGGCAGCCGACTGGAGTTGGCTGAAGGACGAGCAACCTTCCGCATCGCTGTCATCATCAGGCTTATCACTCTTTAGGAGGGCTTCATTCAGCGACTTGGTGTATCTTGAATGAAGGACTCCCTTCCTCAAGTATCAAGATGAGGCACGAACAGAAAATTCTAACCGGTCAATTACAGCAGCCATTTTTTCATTTTCCTGACAAAGGCTACGATTGGAGGATCTGAGCATATCTAATTCAGTATCGATTCCATCTACAGTGGAACGGAACATCTCGACGTCCGCACGGAGGCGATCGCGATCGCTTTTCGCTTGCTCTAAAGCGCTGCGAAGACGATCAACTTCACCCTGAAAAACTCAAATGTTGATGTAACAAATATAACACAGCAGCACATGAATGAAATACTTACGGAAACATCTGCTCCCTTGTTCTGTTCACGGACGTCAGCGAAACCTGATTTCAACCTTTCGAACTCTCCAGAAAGTCGTTCAAGTTGGGCCACGGTTTCTTGATTTTCACGCTTGCACATCTCGTATCGTTCTTCGTATTCGATAAGACTCGCTTTCAAAAGGTCTGGAAACTGGTCTTCAAGGAACGAAAACCGTGTACATGAAGAATGAGAAAGCGTTCAGTCTTTCGTGATAACGCGCTGTAACGCGCTACAATTGCACCAGCGCTCTCCTGTAGACGCGACCGCACCCGGGAATGGGCACCGCTTATATACTGAGGAAGTATGACGGAGGAGTATGATAGACCGCGCCTCATCACACAGGCACTGGCCGTTACGGCGGCGCAGATCGATTCCCATCTGCGGCTGCGTTCGCGTCCATAGGACTGTAGCGCTGTTGCGGTAGTAGCGCGTTACAGCGCGTTGATGCGCGCCGTCACGATGTATGAACGCTGCCTAAGGGCCTAAAGTATAGGTCCGTATGTGCTCAAAGCCATATGGCACCATAACTTGGTACTCGGTCTAAAATGCTAGCAGGGTGCTATATAGTGGGGAAATGGCGAAAAAACGAAGTGAAACGGTCAAAACCTGCGAAGAAAAGCCTTCGTTCTTGATGACTTAGAAACAATTTTGGACGACCATGGGCAAGAAACAATTTTGGACGACCATGGGCATCTTGCCAATAACCGCTGCGGTAGGTGCGGCTGCATGTATGTACTCATATATCCATGCAGCACCGCGCCGCTTCATATCAATCCCTTCGCTTCATATTTTACTTCGCAAATGAAGCAATACGAGCATCAGGTACGGTCGTCCATTTGTGGGCGGGCGGGCGTGTGGGCGTCCTGGTCGGTATGTTGCAGCTTGATAGGGCTTCATAAGGGTACCCAAACTACACAGCGCCTGTTCAGAGGCACGGTATTCTGTCTTGCCATGTATTAATCCTACTCGTCTTAAGGGTTTATCATGCCGACTGTTTTTAACACCCCTAAGACGAGTAGTACACATGGCTGCACGGAATTCCGCGCATCTGAGCAGGCCCCGCCCGCCCACAAATGGACGACCGTACCTGATGCTCGTGTCGCTTCATTTGCTAA